GCGCTTTTGGCATCAAATGGCTTGTTTTGAGCCTCGATTCTCTCCTTCTCAGGCTTGCGAAGGTAAATGGCAGCCTTGCCATAAACGGCCATCTCCGCGTCCGTACTCATGGTGGCAGCTTATGTCTGCATTAAGTAAGACAATAGATCTTTAAAAAGGTTCTCAGAAAGAAATGCTTCATTCTTTTGGTTGGCCAAAAATAACAAATGGGCTTTTTACTTGTACATTTAACAGATCTTCCACAGTGTATTTTTAAAAACAGTATTCATTAAGAATAGATGAAAAAAAAAAAAAACGAATTGATGACAACTAACACCTGATTATTTTCAAGAATTAATTTTTTGTATTCAATTCTTTTACATACCTCAGCTTTCCCTTGTGTACAAAAAGAATGTTTTCCTCCACAACCCTGTTAAAAAGAAGAATATTTACTTCTCTTAACTTGTAAAACAGGATTTATATGCATATAATATTAGTCCTAATAGCAGTGAACCTCACCAAAAGCAGGATCTTCGCTAGTCTTCCACCACACTCTCATGCTTCTCCTCTACCCCTTTTATATGATCCACATTGCTTACAAGGCAGAGATTGGAGCATGCTTTCAGGCCAAATAAGGTTTCAATGACAGCTGATTTATGAGACTAAATTTAGAAAAATTCACGCGTAATCTAAATAGCCTATAAATTCTTTTGAAATACTGGTGGTGGATATAGGGTTTCATATTTCAGGAGGCAAATAAAATTATTGCATCAACTGTTTCCCCAACATAACAAGAATAAAATAAATTCCATGAGTGTTCCTTTACTACATCGACTTATCTTCCATTACACGTAACATCATTAATTAATCAATTGAGTTTACTGAATGATTTAAATACCAGTAACAGCCACTGTGAGGCAGAAGACAACCATTTCCCATTCTAATGTTATATATCTATTGTGATCAAATAAACTAAATCTGACATGTTGACGCAGCTTTAAAGTAAGTTCTTAATTTATATAGTTTATTTTATTTATTCATATTTTGAATTGATTCATTTCTTGAGCCATTAAGTAATGCTCTACATTTGTAAGACACATGTCTGAGATGAAATAGGTGCTGTAAATAGTTGGCAGTCCATATAATGGTCCTTATATGTACTCAAGCAGTCGCTGAGTGCAAATCATTTTTATAGCTTGCTCTAAGGGAATGGCACAGCTTACTCCATTTTCATGTGTATAAAGACACTCGTGAGAGAGGATCTTCTTTTGACATGTAAGATAACATTCATATCAGAATTCCTCATTTGGCATTTTCATTTAATTAATCTATTCTTCATTTGACAAATGGAAAATGAAGAAACCCTGACACAAGCCAAAACATTTTTACCTCGTCACTGTTCATTACACAGTTTACTATCCAGAATCAGATATAAATGTGCATACAAATGTTCAGCTGGATGTAAAAAGTATTTAATGACAACAAGATACTGTATATACTTTTTTGTTTAGTCTTCAGTTGTTATTTTCCATGTGAGGAGTTAGTTTCTTCCTCACGTGTTATCTCAGTGTCAAGCATGTATTTGTGTGCACTATATTGAGGCTTATCATGCCATATCATGTAACTTAAGAAGTTGTGAATGCCACTTTATGATATGCTTGTAGAAATATGAGTGTTCATCAAAACAACTATTTTAATCATATGTAAAGATTGACAATCATTTTGCTAATCTACAAATAGAATATAGTTGCATCAAAACATGTGTGATGTCCGTCCCATCCATCAACAGGTAGAACCACCTTTCGTAAAAAATAACTTGAAGTGATGTTTTTCATACCTTTATCAGACTCTCTCATAGTTGTGGAGCAATATTGGTCAATTCTGACGTACTGTGTTTGGTTACTGTGCATTCTGACCAAACATCTCCACTTTAATCTGCTCTTTCTTCAAATGACCAAAGTCTTGATGCCATATTCATTTTGAAGAGAAGAAGCTTTCTTCTGCCAAAAAAATTAAGTTCAAGTTTTCAGTGTCTATCTAACTCTGCTTTAATTACTTTTAATCTTTAATAAGTTAACTGACACACTGTCCAGGGTGTACCCCGCCCCTCGCCCATTGACCATTGGGATAGGCTCCAGTTCTCCCCGTGACCCCATTAGGGAATAAGTGGTAACGATAATGGATGGATGGATGTTAACTGACATCTGTAGAGTTTGGGACATTGCTGTTGTGTTTGTTGAGGTTTCTCTGAGCATTGCACAATGTGACCTCAGGGTAACCTCCTGGGATGGACAGCTGTTCAATATTTCCCACTTGTGAATAACCTTTCACTATGTAAAATTATCCTATCAAAGAAGCCAGTCTTCGCACTGTTGTTGTACTGTAGATCAATATCTGTTAGATATGCTGCAATATGTCATATGCTGTCGCTCACTGCTTTTACCAAATTTTAAGATTTTGTTGTGGGGGTCATGGATGTTTTGTTTTGTTGTAGTGCCATCTGGAAGGTTTCTTAATATAATAACATTGTTGTTGAACCAAGGGTGATGCAACAAGGTCAAAGATCATACATGTTCCTGGTTAAGGGTTAACCAGGCATCTCAGCTATGTCTATGTCTTTGTGCTACATACACTAGCTTGGCTCTCAAGTGTAGATGTGTGTGATTCCAAACCAGCTGACTTGAATATCTTAGTACTGCCAACAGTATAATGAGGAATGGCTGGTGGCTGTGGCTCAGGAGGAAAGAGTAGTTTCCCACTGATTGGATGGACAGTGGTTCTTCCAAACCACATGTCAAAGAGTCATTGGGCAAGGCTCTAAACCCCAAGTTGCCTACAGGTTTCATCTGGTG